GCTCTGTCTGGGACTCCCTATTGGCCTGGTCTTTCTGTGATTGGAGTCTGGGCTCACTTTCTCCCGCTCTGTCTGGGACTCCCTATCGTGGTCTCTTTCAGAGCTGTTGGCGGTGGCAGGTGGGCGCCATCTTGTTCTCTGGTCTTGGGGTGGTGGAGGCCAGGGTGCGCACGGTCCACTGGCCCTTTGGACCAGTTGTTTCCCTGTGTCTTTGATTTCCCATGGCCTTCTGTTTGCTGCTGTCCCGCGTTGCATCTTTAGAACGGACATTTTCTTGGCTCCGTTGGTGCCAACGCGGCTGACACCCCAGCCCCGCCTGTGTTTCAGACGTGCATGAGGCTGCCTTGTCGGCCATTCTCCCACACCTCCCAAACATAGCGGCCCAGGCTGGCCCAGAGCAGCCTTCTTACGTACCTGCTCCTTGGAGTCTCTCTCTCTCGATTACTGGTCCCCATTGGGTTAAGCACTGCTTGGATACTAGTGTGTGCGTACTGCGTTGGGCCCAGGGCCCAGGGCCCAGGGAAGGAGTCTCCCTTGCCAGCCCCTCCTTGTCCCAGGGACAGGCTGCCCGCTGTGCTTGCTGCAGGGAGTGTGGCAGCAGAGGTGGCGGGAGGCACACCGGGTCTGCAGGGAGGCAGAGGAGCGCTGCTCTCGGCAGGACCCTGCACACGTTGCATGGCTGCGAAGTTCCTCAACCCTGCTTGGACATCTATTCAGAGAGGACTTGGAACACACTGTGGACACAACCCCCCAATCAAGGAAACTGCTGAAGCCAGGGTCGCCGGCCAGGCCTCTCGGGTGCCCGGGCAGAGGGGCCTGGCCGCCGTCTGTCATCGCAGACCCGCTGTCTGGAGCTGTGAGGTAGCGGAAAGGGGCACATCCAGAGGCGCCGTGTGCCACCAGGAAGGGGCGTGCCCAGGAGTTAGCAAGACTGACCTCCAGGTCCATCCGCCGTGCCCCTTCCCAGTTACAGTCAGTATCTCCAGTAGCCAGAACTGAGAATTGAGCAGTGACAGAATCTCCTAAGATCTAACTGGGGAGGCAGCGGGCTCGCTGAGAGGACAGCTGCTCTCGTGCAGGACGACAGTCTCTGGGGAAGGGAACCTCAGTGACACTGTCACAGCCCATGTCCGCGTGCCACACAGAATGCAAGGACACCCTTTGCAGAAGTGGTTTCCAGATCAGGCAACTTTGTTTTTGTTTGTGGCCTTAAACCCCTTCTCTCACAGTGAGGAGGCGAGCAGTCCGACTTCAGGGCACCAGTGCAGGGGAGGGCTTTCTCTGTGTCGGCTCTGGGGGCGGTCCCCGTCCCTCTCCAGCATCTCTGTGCCTGGTGTCCCTTGGGGATCTCCACGAATGAACACGACATTCCGACATCCTCTGCCACTGTCTCCTGAGCCAGCACGTCCTGCCCTCGGCTGCGGGGGCAGCGATGTACTGCTCAGCTGCTAATCAGAGCTTGCAGTGGGGACCCCCAGTGGCTCCAGGGGAGAAAGCCTGTGACCTGCTCCTGTCAGATTCCAACCCAAACCCAACCCACTGCCCCTGAGCTGACTCCAGCTCACAGC